ATGAAATATTCATGCTCATTTATGAAATCAGATAGTGAGTAAATACTCAATAGAAATCATAATATAATAAAAGAAGATTGCTAATCCTAAAATTTATACTTGCTTTGATTACCAAGTGTTATCTTTATCTATTGGAGCTGAATCGTCTAAAGATATTCAAGATTGTTGCTGTTCGATGAATATTCTAACTTTTTTTTTTTAAACAATTCATAAAGTTAATTCTAAAAAAGTTCAAATATTTCTTACATTAATCATTATAATTAATAATTTTTATAATTCACATAGTAAATACTCTTTCTTTTTATTTATACTATATATATTATATTATTTAGCTTACATAATGTTTTATATTTGTAACAATTAAATTATTAATAAAAACTTTTTCAGGCACATATGTGTCTATATTACTAACAGCAAAACTAATTGAAGTTATTATATTACAAAGCTTTAGTGTCATACATAATACAAATTTCTGACGTTTCATAATCTCAAGTAATTGCCAAATTATTGCATAATATTGATTTTAATTATTTTCTCACAGCTCCAAGGTCTAGTAATGATAAATATTATTAAATTAGTCAATTTTAGTTGATTACCATCAAGCACATAAATGCAAAATCTATAAAATTTATATACATACATAAAAATAAAAAATTAAAATTTATTCTGTTTTCTAATCTTCATATTCAGTGCAATTTGAGAGATTCTCTGTTCATCAACTTGTAGAACAGCCTCAATTCTAGTGATTCTTGTTCTTTCAATTTGGGCAGTTTGTTGAAAAACCTCGTAAAGATTTCGAATATTTTGTGCTTTTCTTTTTTTTCATTCTATGATAATTAAAGCAAAATCTTCTTGTAATTTTGAGATTTCAATAGTTTTATCATAGATTTCAGCATTTATTATTAAAAAAAAAAAGAAAAAAAAATAATTTGTGAAATAACTATTATATTTATTAATGTAAAAAAAAAATTTGCTGACCACATTCATTGTCGTTTTTTGAAATCTAAACATGTACAAATGTACAATATAATGTTTAAACTATTTTCATTCTTTATTAAATTTTTTTTATGGACAGAGTATTTAATTTTATCATTCATTGTAGAATGAACCAATCAAACATCTGATTGAATTTTATAAATATCAATTTTATTTATATGCTTTGTTCTAGCAATTTCTTGAAGACATTGTTGGCATTGTTGTAGGTTCATATAACCAATTTTCAACTTATTTAAAAGAACTGAATAATCTATATCCTACAGAACAACCTTTACAAATAAATAAATCTCATTATCTAATCAATGTCCTGAATGCCTTCTCATATACATATACTTCAATTTGTAATAAAAAGCCTCAATCAAATTATTTGTGTCTATTCTGTCACATGAAAACCCTCTAACACATATCATTTACATGTCATATTTGGGTTTTTACCAATGTTTAAAGTACTTTGCAAATTTATTTATTATTTTGTCACCTATTTCTCATCACCTACTAATTGTTATTGTAACTTGATACTGTGCTTCTGCATCATTCCATCCCTCTATTCTTAATAGTTTCCACAAATCTTGCCAAACAATTGCATTATTGGATTAACATTTGCATTATGCTTATGACCTAATCTTCTATATCAGAAATGAAGCATATAAAAATAATATAAAAAAACAGAACTGTTCAGAAAACTTTTCTCAATCACCTTTATCTTCTCTTTAGTATCATTGATCATAAATATATCTGGGCTTAATTTTTCATTTTCACTTTTTAAAAAATCTAATCATCTTTTCAAAATTGATAATTTTTTGAATTGGCTTATTAAGAATGTAATAGGGTAGCCACTTTCTGTTATTAGGTGATGCATAATAATTGTGAAAAGGTGAAAACCATGGTGATTCATCCTGTGAGTGCTATCTAGGTACAGTACTTTTGTGATGTTCATTAATTCTTTCTGTTTCTTAGTCTGAAATGCAAATAAAAACCCAACATTATTTATATTATTATGACATTCGAATAAGCAGCTTTCACTTATAAATATATATTATAATAAATATATAAAAAAGTAATAACTATGCACAACTTATAATTTAGTTTAATAATAATAATAATTAATAATAATAATAACTTAAATTAATTAGTTTTTCTTTCTATTTTTCTAATGAGCTTAATTCATTATTATCAAAATAAATAAGTTTTTGCATTATATTATACACAATTTCATATATGTCATCTCATATTATAAAAGCATTTTGTAACATTTGAACATCATGAAACTGGTCTTCAGCATCATTTCTTATTTGATCTTTAAGTTTGATTGCTCTAAGTCATAAAAACTTTTGTATGCTAAAAGCATCAAGTTCTTCAAGAGCATGTTTTTAAATAAAATTCTAGATATTTTGAGAAAGTGAAAGTGTACATAAATTAAATAAATAGCCAGGATAATGGTTTATATGTTTATAATAATAATGCATAGTCACAGTAGATGAATTAATAGAAAGGGTAATGTGAATAGAACTCTTGCAACTGCATTTTTTAGTTTCTTTTTATGTAATTCATAGTTTTATATTTAGATTTTTTTCTGTAATACTTTCATATATTTTATTATAGTAGCAATATCACTGCTCTGTTAATTTGTTTTTTTTCCTACTACTGTCTCATTTGCTTCGATGATCATAGTGAACATAGTTTAATCCTATCTTTTTAAGGCTTTTAATCCATATTTCATAATTATTTTTTGAAAGTGAAAAGGTCTTCACTCTTTTTATTTCTGATATCTCTTCTAGCACCAATTCATCATCATCATCAACTGCCTCCTACATGTGTTCAATACTATCTGTTGCATCTAAAATTAAATCAAGTACATTATTTACATTATTATTATTTAAACCTGTATCAATTTCTTGAACTTCCTAATCAATATCAAATATTTTATTTATATCAGGTGGCATCAATATAAAGTACTGTTTTAAAGCAAGCATTATAATTTTAGCACTAATAACAAACTTTCATATAAAATACTAATTTTTTTTAGATACATAAAACCAACCACAAGATAAATCTTATTTACGAATCTTAAATATCAGAACAGGCTAGACTTTATTAAATTTAGAATAAAAGTTTCTGGTCATGTGATAGTAAGTGAAAATAATTTACTGTTATATAAAATAGGAAACTCAATGTATTAATCTTTTTATAAGAGCAATAAACATATTAAAAAAATATTATTTTTATTATTGCAACATACACACTTGAAAAAATAAAAAGGTTAAGTGAATGCGAAGAAGTTTTGACACTCAAAAGCTAATTTTTCAAGTAAGTAATTAATTACTTGTATGGATTTGTTATTGACAAAAGCATTTGTTGAAGGTTTGTTTTTATACATATTTTTCTCTATCGTAATTACATTATACATCAGCAAAATTATAGATACGAAATATTTTGAAAGATTTTGCATAGCACAATAATTTTGAAATATTGCAAAATAAATTTTAAAATTTTTGTGCTGTGCAAAATCTTTCGAAATATTGTGAAATATATTTTAAAATTTTTGTGCAATACAATAATATTAGAAAAATTGCGAAATATATTTCAAAATTTTTGTGCTGTGCAAATATTTCAAAATATTACAAATATTCTAAATATATTTGCAAAATGCAAAAACTTTTGAAATGTTTGATGAAATTTTATAAACTTAGCAATATGCAAAGTATTTCGAAATATATCAATATAAAAGTTAAAAACATTAGAGTTATAATAAAATATTTAATTATTTCATAAAATAAA